GCAAATAGAATTCCTTCTTTACGGGTGCTTTTTTTGTGCCGAATTAATTCGATGCATAGGTTGATCGAGAAAATGTATTAATTTGTCAGGGCTGAGAGTAAATCTTACAAACGGAGTCCACTAAAGAAGCCTAAATCCGAAACTCCGGTGGTTCTCCGCCGTTCTCTGAGAACTCGGGGGCTGCCGCCTGATGCTGCCACTGCCTCTGGCCTTGATGATGATCTTGTTGATGAGAAGCAGATTAAGGATATCTCCCACTTGAGTTCCAACAAAAAATCCCATCAAAGGAAGGGACCCATTCCATGGACTGATGCATACCGTGGTGATGACGGGTTGGAATATAAAATGAGGGAAACTTTCTCCTTCTCTTGGAAGTCTGTACAGGGTGAGGGTGATGGGGTTCCTTGTGATTTTAAATATGTTGAGAAATTGAATGTGACCAAAAAAATGCGGGGCGCAGTTGATGTGACAGCATTGGAGTTGAGGCCTGAGAATGTAGCGCGATTGGTGCCAGGGAGGATTATGAATGTGAGGTTTTTTCCTACGCTGGATAGGCAAATGGTTGTCGTTGGCAACAAGTTTGGAGATATTGGATTTTGGAATGTTAATGGCGAGAGGACTGGTGATGATGGGATTTATTTGTTCCACCCCCACTCAGGGCCTGTTTCTGGAATCACGATAGACCCCTTTTCGATTTCTAAGGTATTGATGCCTGTTTCTGGTTATTATAATATAAAGTAGGACTATGTTTTTGTTTTTATTTTGCTTATATATTGAGAGTTGGAGTCACTAATTAATCATTATGCTCTTTATTTAGCTTTAGTTAGTGGTCAAAGATTTGCTGAATTATATAAAAATGAGAAAAGGTTGCGCTGATTGCATGATTGTGGTATCAACCGTTCAATGGCTGGGCTGTTTGGTTCACTCCATTAACTGGATTTAGAATGACAAAATGGGCTACCGGATACAATTTTTCAGAAAGATTGGGAGTTCATGAAAAATGTCAAAATATTTATTACTATCCATATCTTTGAATCAGTGCTTAGGTGAAGCACAATAATATACAGGATGAGCATATTTATGGTCTATATAAAACCATGGTTGGAATATGATTTCATCTCGACTTCTTCATCCCAAATTCTCACTTGCGAGGTTATTGCCTGTATATCAATTTTGTGTTACGTTATATCCACCTGTTGATGGATTTAACATCGCATTGTTGCTTGTGCAGATGTATAGTTCGTGCTATGATGGGTTTATCCGAATGATGGATGTGGAAAAGGAGGTATTTGACTTGATTCATTTCAGTGAGTCCTCTATATTCTTCACGTGCCTGAATCCACATGATGTAAAATCCTTGTATTTTAGTGAGGGTGGAGCAGTGCGTATGTTGGATGTACGAGCAGGAAAATGTTTGTTATCATGTGATTTGCATGTAGA